TCTGGGCTACAGCCCCAGCATTCCCCAGACAAGCATCATAGACCACAGAACAGAGAATAAACCTTAATTTACAAGAGCCTACAACATTAACATGACTGGGAGCAGGAAGGAAGAAACCCATCAGACTTGAAAAGTAATTAGATTTCAAGATGTGTTCGTCGTTTTAATAATTTTAATCTTTCCTAGTGCAACACTGCAGACTCTTATCTTCATTTTTTTGGGATGCAACCTAAATGATTATACTCAGCTGTGCATGTTCTCACCCAAGCCTAGACCACCTAGTGACATGTCAGCTGATGATGATGGATGTGTGAAATTCTCTGGAAGACATTAGCATCTCTGGAAATAGGAGTCTGAGCATGGAATGAACTCCAGCACTGCAGGCTTGGACACAGAGCCCTTCTTGGAGAATCACCTGGAGAATAAGGATTCTGTGGGATATAAATGGGGGAATAAACACCTTGTTACACTGCTGGACTAGTGAGTGATTCAAAAATATTGTGCATTCTAATGAAACCCAGAGGAAACTTGGATTCTTAAAAAACAATGGAAAGTTTTAAGCCAATATTCTCATTATTGCACTGTGCTCCTCACGCACCTAGCAGAGCACAAGGCAGACAGTCATGTTTGCACTATTTCTTGCTCCAATGAATTTTGTTCACAGCAGCCTCCCAGAGAAATTCCAAAGTGAATCTGACCACAACATCCATCTATTCAACCTGTAACCTTTGTAATTTTATCCCCATCCTGCAGTACCTCCATAGCACCATCTTTTTCCAAAGCTGCCCCGAAGCAGCATCTCCAAATAGCTGAAACAGGAGAAAATGGGAGTGCACGTGCTTCGCTCTCATCTTTAGCCATCAAAATGGTGTAAGTGGCTGGTTTAAATTGTATTAAGCATCAAGCCAACCCTGTGCAGTGAGGAATTAAATTGTTATTCCTGAACAACAGTAGCGTGCCATGAACAACTCAGACTCAGAACAGGGCTGGGATCTGGATTTGGGAGCATCTAAATCAATGCAACACTCCTAAACACTTAAATAGAACCAACATTGCATAACATGCAGAGATTTTGTTAATCAGGAGGGAAACTTTGCTCCAAATACTTTTTTTTTTATTCATTCCATTTACAAGAAAGAAACCAAAAGCATTTTTAAGGCAGGCCCTTTTCTGGGCTCCAGGACAGTTTTTCCTATGCAGTAAGTTGTCATCTGTAATGATCAACACAGAATATAAACCCATAAAGATAATATCATCTGCGGGTCTTGATTTTATCCCAGTATATAAATTATTCTTGGGAAGATGGGAGTAGAAATTACAAGGTCCTTCTTTCGTGGATCCCACAGCCAAATGCAGAATGGTGTTAGCAGTGCCCTAATTAGTGCAGTATTAACTATGTGTCGAGTCAGAAAGTGCTTGTTTCTGCCTGAACAGAACATGGGGATCTTGCAGACAATGCTCTCTTGGATGTTTAGGCACAGCCAAACTCCCTTGCTCTGTTGCCAACCCTGGAACTGACTGTATTTAGCAGAGAGATCCAAGCCCCTCAGAAACACATTAAACTCTCTTCCAGCTGGAGGAACACCATTGTTATTAAATGCATTTAATATTTATATAACAGCAGTATCCAGATGCCCCAGATAGTGCAACAGCGAGTTACTTAATGTGCAGTTCTCTACTGGAACTATTTTATTATCTTAGCAGTTCCTCTCCCTTTTTACAAAATAAAGCTGCTCACTGGTCAGCCTCCTCTTTCACTCCAAAAAGCAGTGGGAGGAAATTGCTTGCTCTGCCTGTCTGCTTTCTCCCACACATCTGCTCCTTTCCACAGTTTCCTGCATCCTGAAATAACATGGAGACATACCACCTCATCTTTGATGAGGGTTGGTAAAACCAGAGTAGGACTTCACACAGGATGAAGCCAAATTCCTATCAACCAAGTATATCAGCCCCACATTCCTACCAGTACCATGAAAATTCCAAGCTCTCCATGCCCAAGTTCAAGTCAAAGACAGCTGGTTACCACCACGCAGAAGGCAGAAAGCAAGATGAGGGCTCAAAGGAGGAATCAATAGTAAAGACAGGTCACAAGAATGAATTTCTGCTGCTGCTGCCCCTTCCTTTTGTTACCTCCTTCTTCTTGTTCCTGTGTAACCTGTGACCCCAAAAAAACAAGGACTACTGGTTATGACAGCAATTAATATTGAGAAGTAGATGCAGGGATCATCTAATCATCTTCTGTTTATTAGATTTGATGATTAGAGGGCCATTAGTATATAAATGATGTGTATTGGCATAAAAAGCACACTCAGAGGTAAATGGCTAAGGCTGAGGTTTGAATTGTGCCTCTAATTCAGAGCAGAGCAAACCATTTAGATAATTACAAAATGAAACCAAAAAAACCCAGACAATAGTGGCAAGTTACCCAGCACTCACTGCAGAGGGTAACAGACACCTTTGCACAGTGATACAGGTCACCCTGAATTTCTCTTTTATTATCCTGTGTCTTAAATACCTGGCAGCTGCACTTCCCACTGAGGAGTCCCTGGGGTTCAAGCTCCATTTTGTGAGACCCACCCCAAAGACTGGGAATAACCCCAGGCACCAGGACGTGCTGGGAGCTCAGCAGTTGGCAGAAAAGGATTGGGGGTCCTGATGCTTCTTCACTAGACTGTCTTATCATCACTAAATGGAATTTTAGATCAAATTCTGGTATTTCATCTAAGATTTTAATGGCTCTGGTCACCCGTCTTTGAGGACTGGTCATGAAATCTGGACGTGACACAGCAGCAGTGGGGGAAGAGCCAAAATTCAAGGAGCAGTCACTGTTCCACAGTCTGCAGGAGAGCTCATCAGGCAGCCTATTGCAGGCTAAGAAAATGCAAACCTAACAGGAATTAAACAATGTTGCTGTTCATCCTAACAAAAAAAGTGGCCTTCTACTGCTCAAAACTGCTTCTAGAAGGGGAAGGAAGGAGAAATATGATCAATTAGACACAAAAAGTGTTCAAGGTTATAAACAAAATATTAAAAATTATTATTTGAACTATTATCAGACAAAATACAGAGCTACTGTTTGCACTTATTAAAAAAGCAGAATATTTTATATATGCAGACCATACAGCAATAAAACAAGTTAAAAAGTGCCACCATCAAGAGAGGTGTTGATCATACAGCAGAGAAAAAATTGCAGCATTTTTTCCTTATGATTTAAGCATAAGTAATCTATCAGCTTGTCCAACAAAAGACACCAATCTGCCACAAACCTTCCCCTCTTTACACTGAGTCAGTGCTTTAATACTTTTTCACCTAAAATGAGCCTGAGTTTGGTCACTGTGCAGAAATTATTATCTTCTAGTGCCTGTTTTTGTTAATCAGGTGGGAAATAAGAAGAAGGAAGGAGAGAAGTCTACCTGCAACTTGCTGAGAGTCTCTGGATGGGAAGTCTGGATGCACCTCTCATGGAAATGACTGGAGTTGTATCCAACTGTAAATACCAGGCTGATAAATCACCACACGCTCACTCCACATATTCTTTTTTGACATTTTTATTAATCAAAGACAGGATGACTTCCATATTTGGAGTGATAGGACAGATCCCAGGATACTCTCACAGCTATGATAAGCTTAACCAAAAGACACGTCGCAGAGCACACCACAGATATGGAGCAACGCCCTTGTCTCCTGACTGGGTGAACTGGCATCACTGGCACCCTGCAGAGGGTCCTCAGGAAGAGGATATTCCATTGGCAGTGGACCACAACTCTGGGAGGGACCTACCAACAGCTCCAGAAGAGACAAAGGAGAATTTGGCATCATACCTGACCAAGAGGGTCCCCAGGTACCAGAGATGTATCAAAGGCCTGTGTCCACCATGGACTATTCCAGCTCCAGACCTCTTACACATCCAAACTGAGCAGCTTCTATTCATGCTATATAAACACACTTATACTGTGCATTGGCATTTATAGAGTCGCATAAAAGTCAAAAAAATAAAGTTCTGCAAGAGTTTAATACTCCTAGGTGGAAGCTTGAAAGGTTAAGTTTACGTGTCACTGTTTTCAACAAAACCTAGCTAGGTGGGAAAGTAAACTAGATGTGCCATTTCAATTCTTTAGCATTTTATAATCAATTTTCAGTATACCAATAAATACTCAGTGCAAAGCACATGCTCAGTTAAAATCCTAGGCATGGGTAATGTATGAGGAAAATAAAAAAAGAAGCCAGCACATGTTGTCTACATGCTCACAGAAATATATATAAGAAAAAAAAAAAGGGAAAAGTGTTCTTCACTTACAGCATTATTTTGGTTTTGGCTTAAGAAATGTAGATGCTTTCTCTCAAAATAACAGAACTTGACAAGGTTATATCATTGGCTTGTTTAAAAAAAAAAGTTACAGTGATGGAAACAAAGAGTCTACATTACTTTAAACTGAATATTTCCATCCTCAGAAGCCTGCAGCAAGGTCATACTTATGAGCCAACACTTCTTGTGGTGAGCGCAAATCCAAAGAAAAACAAACCAAACCCCACAGAAATGCCACCCAATAATTACAGTTTATAGGACAGTACACATCATCATCGGCCAGTCAGAACTCAAATCAGGACGTGTCTATCTCGTATTGGCCTTTTTAGCCACCAACGCGCTTGCAAAAAACGTGGGTAGAGCCCTTCCCAAATCTTCGTTCGCGAAGCCTAGCCATGATGATGATAGGACAGTAAAAATATGATGGTTTCCAGCAGAAAAACTGTAGTGTTTCTTCTCTTTCACATCACCCACTGGAGTTTGCCCCAATTCTCCACATAATAACACTACTTCCTAATAAGTTCTCTTCCCCATGAATATGGGGATAGATCAAAACACCTCAGTAACTGGTAACAGCACACATCTCCTTCCCATGAGTGGAGACAGTGATTTAACAGATAAAACCTCAGGAAACAGAATTTAGAATGGAAAGGTAATGTTTCTGCCCACAGATAGGAACTGAAAATGTGAGAAGTACAATATAGAAAAGAGTTAATGGTTTTGTGTAATTTCAGCTTGGAAGTACAGCATAGGAATCAGGATTATTACAGGAGCATCCATAACATGGCCATTACAGAGGCAACACTGAAGGCTTTGTTAACCCCAGTAATGGCCCCCTCATTGCACAGGTCGTGTTGGCAGCAGAAGAATTCAAAATTATCCAGCTGGAAGGATTCGGCAATTTCATTCATTTTGCACTGGGAATACTTCCAGCAGGAGAAAGTTCTCAATTTACCTATGGAAAAAAAAAATTAAACAGATTAAGAGCATATTGACAGTAATACCATTGTTGGTACAGAGAAAAGCACTGCCTGGTGTTGGAAGCACAAAACACTGGAGAAAATGCAAAGCTCAATATGTGACACGGTGTAAACACAGCAACTGGATGGAGGTCTGGTGGTCTGTGTTGCCATGGCATCGGGGATGAATGTGGAGTGAGGTGGAAACTCTGCAGCCTCACTTACACCTGATACCCACAAATGTTTTGTCCACCTCCTACCAAGAAATAACCCTTACCACGTGCCCATAAAGGCAGGGAAGGTTTGACCACACTCCCACCCACAGCACTTTGCACAACAGTGGTTAATAAGGTGTAAAATGCACAGAAAATAACTGGGGGATGAGACATGAAATTGCAGGGACTGGTGGGTGGGTTTGTCCTCCTCACCCTCCCCAGAAGGGACACCTTTTGCTAAGTCTTGCACCCTCAGCTATGCTGTGTGGTGATCTGGGATATTAAGCTTGTGATTGCAATGGTGTTGTCAGCACTCCATGGAGCTACTCCACAGTTCCTGTATTTATCACCAGTTCCTGCATTTATCACCAGCAATCCAAGAGAAATGCAGATGTTGGATTCAATAAATCGTGCTTTTAAATCCCCCCAGGGATGGTGACTCCACCACCACCCTGGGCAGCCTGTGGCAGGGCTCTACAGCCCTTGCAGGGAAGAATATGCAGGAGACAGAGCTTGAAGAGCACATAAGGGTGGTCAAACACTGGCAGAGGTTGTCCAGAGGGGTGGATGCTCCTTCCCTGGAAACACTGAAGGCCAGCTTGGACAGAGCTTTGAGCAACCTGCTCTAGTTGAGAATGTCCCCGCTCATTGCAGGGGGATGGGACTAGATGATCTTTAAATGTCCCTTCCAACCCAAACCGTTCTGCGAGTCTATGAGGATTCCTTCACCCTCAGGAAAAGCAAATTTATTTTAGTAGTGACAATTCATAAACAACAGAGTCTTCATCTTTAGGTGTATTTTGTGGGCTGCACATTCTTTATCTGTTCTTAAAGCACAATAAAAATTCAGGGCAAAAGGTTTGTATTTTAAAGTCAGTGCCGTCTTCTATTTTTTTCCAGCTCCTTCGGGTGGGTTTTTGTTTGTTTCTTTGTTTATTTGTTTCTTAAATCTAGATATACAGATATCTGTATATGTGCTTGTACAACTATAAATCAACTGCCTAAATCATCATTACATTATCAGTTGCTTGGATATAAGCATGACCTTCAAAAGGATTTGCAACCTTCTTTTAAATGAGGCTTAGAAATGCATACTAAGGCCAGATTAGAGATGCACAGGTGATGAAAACTGATACAAGTTGTGTTTATTTTAGGTCTGTGGGACACCATACATACCAAATTTCAACTGCAAGCAAGTATCTTCATTCGTTAAGCAAGTGCTGTTGGACCTGCACAAGGAAGGGCTGTTCTCGCAGTGGTAACATCTTAGGGTAGAACCTAAGAGAACAAGGGTTTATCTTTACTGAATAATCAAGTACTGAGACAGCAGCAGCATTAAAAACAAACAAAAAAAATAATAATCACTGTCTGCATCTAACTGTCACAAAACAAATGCCTGGTTATTAAACTCAAGCTATAATTATTAAACTCAAGACTTCAGCTAAAATCGAGCTTATGTCAGTTGTACAAATCAAGACAGGCAATTCTGAAAGGCAGATTTTGAAGCATGTACTCATGTCATTTTTAAAAGCACCGTTATATGCCTCCAGAACAAGGTATTAAATTTTTGCTTCTTTTATCTGCTCTTAAAAGACTGCCTTTTCCAGGCAGGAAAGGACAGGCAATGACACTTTCAGCACAATTTTATTCTATCCCTATTTTATTTCATCTCTCTCTCTCATACTACAAACTGGTTTCCAAATCACACAACAGACACCCAGTCTTCCAGCAGCAAACCACCACAGTCTGTTGCTGTTTTAAGCAGCATCACATCCTCATTCTCTCTTCTGACCCAAGACAATCGGAAACTGAGAGAAACTAAGCCCTGCTTCAAAGGTCACTGTCATTCCCCAAAGTGGTATGAAATAATCCAGGCTATTTTTCCTTCTCTGGTGTTTTTGCCATGACTTTCTCAGCCTCTGTCACAACATTACATAGGAAGGTCTCTCCCTTCTACTCACCAAAACTACAAAAAGCAACCAGAACAATGCAGGCGGTTAACAGGATGAAGTTCATCTTGGTCATGCTTCCTCCCTAGTTTGAAGGCATAAAGAGATGTTACATGTTAATTATATTTAAAAGCCACGTGGAACTAGCAAAATCCCCAGTGAGGAATCCAGGCTTCGAGACTTCAGTATGAAACTGGAAGCATTGGCCAGGAGAAACAGGAAGAGACGAGAGAAAAATAACTGCACTTTCCAAGAGAGGATTTTTTATTCTGAGAACAGGATTTTTATTCTGAGAATTGATATTTGAGCCCTGACAGGCTCAGATGGGTCTCATTTCTCCTTTCTGATTACACCATTCAACAGGTCTCCCTATTCCTCACAGCTACAAATGCACCTAACAACAACAAAAAAAAGGCCATTTATGTCTCAAATGCTTTTTCTTTTACAGCAATTCCCCAATAACCCTGGAGCCAGACTGTGCTCCTTTCTTCTCTCATGGTGTTGCAAGAGGTTTGGCTGTTCTAAAGGAGCTTTTGCCTGTCCTCTCCCAAAATCTCTCCCTCTCCCTGAGGGACTGACATATTCAATAACCCACCGAGTGCCTGCAGCGATGGCTCAGGTCTCCATGACTGCTGCAATCCACGGGCAGCAGGGAGATGGGAAGAGCAGGATTTCATTTGAACCCAGGCAGCTCCAAAGCAGGAGTTACTAGACAGATTTCTGCACAGAGTCTGAACTGCAATCACAGCTCCCACTAAAAAATCTCTGCTATTGCAGAGTAGGATATTCAGAGAAGGCATCAAGCAGGCACAGGGGGGAGAGGGGGACCATACTTGCGCTAGGAGGGCATGATTTTATGTTTGTCTTCAAAGCCCAAGAGGGATTGAAAGTCCAAAAATATTAAAGGTATTCAGAAAACAAGTTTTACACATGATAAAATCATCATATCACTGCTCTTGACCCTGTTAATTCTGCTTGAAGCTATTTCTCCATGCAGCCATAACCATGCTAGGCTGGAGTTTTTTCCTCCCAGAAGACTGAAAAGATGGTTTCATAGCAAAACAATATTTAAATGCTTCTCAACCCTTTTTAATTTTTCTACTGACAAAAAAAAAATCCCATACAACAACAACAACAACAAAAAACCCGCGTCTAACAAAATAAAAAACGCAACAAAAAAAAAAGGGCCACTACCTTTTTTTTCTTGTCTGTATGACCCACTGCAGAGCAGGAAAACTAAGAAAAACATAACCATAATGTGCAAGATGAGTTGATTTTTCTGTGGTAAACAACTTTGCAAAAGAAGCCCTTCAAGGCCACAGGCTCATCCCACAGTGACGTGAATCTGCAGAAGGGCTGTTGGTCTGGTGGTTACAGCAAGAGCCATTCTGGACAGCAAACAGAACCTCCCTGGGAATCTCTCCATCTTCCAGGAGTCCTCAGTCACCCAATGTGTCAGCACGGGAAAACAGTCTCGCCTTTTAGCAAAACCAAGTCATGACCAGAATAAATATAAGGCAAATGAATAAAAATCATGAGGGCCAGTAGTAATTCAACCAATCTGTTTTTGTGAAATGAGTAATTGTTTCTGTACTCCAGAATGACAGAGAGGAAAACTTTAGCTTAAAACCAGGAAAACTTCAGCTTAAAAAAATAAAATAGTATATAGGGACAGCAATTCACATCGTGGCTTAAAAGAAATAAAGCCAAAAACATATCCTAGACTGAATTTCCTAAATTGCTGTTTTAACCCAAGCATCCACCCCACCTCAATGACAAAAAACAACTGCAATGAAAGGCTCAGTGCCTCGTTGTGAAACAGAATTTCTCTGCAGTCCCACCTGGGAGAGGGCAGGTGGACAAACCTGCCGCTACTGCCATCATAAATTACAATTTATAACAGAAAGGGGCAAGAAAAAGGGAACAGCACCACGAGCCTAATCCCTGCAGGGACCAGGGATCAGGACCACAAACCCCATTCCTGCAGGATGTCTAGGGGACAAGGACCACAAGCCCCATCCTTGCGGGGATCAGAGAAGGGGAACAGGGCCACGAACCCCATCCCTGCAGGGGACCAGGGAAGAGAGGAACAGGACCACGAACCCCATCCCCGTGGGGACCAGAGAATGGGAGAACAGGACCACAAATCCCCATCTGTACAGTAACCAGAAAATAGGACCACAAACCCCATCCCTGCGGGGACCAGGGAACAGGACCAAAAACCCCATCCCTGTGGAGACCAGGGAGCAGGACCAAAAACCCCATCCCTGGGAGGACCAAGGAACAGGATCACAAACTCCATCTCTGCGGGGACCAGGAAAACAGCACCACAAAGCCCCTGCAGGGAACAGGGAACAGCACCATGAGCCCCATTCCTGCGGGGAGCAGCGCGCTGCGCAGTTGCCCAGGTCACTGGTTCCCGTGCCCAGACCCCCCGCAGGTGCCCCCGGCTCCCTTCCCCGGCTCTCTGGGGCCGCTCGAGGGGTGCCCGCAGCGCCCCGGCCCCGCGGCCGCCCCGCGTTAGCGCAGTGCGGTGCGGTCGCTCCGCCGCCGTGACTCAGGACAGCCCCGGGCACGGGCAAAACACCACCGCCTTAAAAACGGCGTAAACACCACACTGCCAAGCCAAACCTCCGCAGTTCCTGGGAAAAGTCTTCCCTCCCCCCACACTCCTCTCCCCACACCGCCGCTGGCCGCTGCCGCTCACCTCGCCCGGCACCTGCTGCCGCTCGGTGTGAGGGGAGCGGGGGCTGCGGCGCTGCCCGGCCCGCCTGTGCCGCCCCCGGGGCGGGGCGGAGCGCTGGGTTCCCGGTGACGGGGCGCCGAGGGCGGGAGGAGCGATCCCAAGGGAGCGGGAGCGGGCGGGAGCTGCGCAGTCGCTGCTTCCACAGGCCGAGAAGGGTTTTTAGGAACGCGGCTGCCGACGTCACGCGCGTTCTTCTCGAAGCCTGTCATGCATCGCCACTCGTGGTCAAGCCCTAGAATGGTTTGGGTTGAAAGGGACCTTAAGGGTCGTCTCTTTCCAACTCCGACACCTTCCACTGGTCCAGGTTGCTCCAAGACCCGTCCAACCTGTCCTGGAATATTTCCAAGGAATGGGGCAGCCACAGCTTCTCTGGGCAACTTGTGCCAGGGCCTCACCACCCTCTCACCAAAGAATTTCTCCCCAATATTCAGTCTAAACCCACCCTCTGGCAATGGGAACCCATTCCTCCTTGTCCTATCACTCAAAGCCTTTGCCCAAAGTCTCTCTCCAGCTCCCTGGGAGCCCCTTGAGGCACTGGAAAGTGTTCTAAGGTCTCCCCAGGGCCTTATGGTGGGAATTAATAGATTAGGGAAAACAAGACTTTGAGAACATACAAAGGAACAAAACCGGAATGGAAAGTGGCAGTTTCCTCCAGAGGCGGCTGAATATGGAGCTAAACATTTACAACCTAGAAAAACACTGAAGAAGAGCAACAGAAATGTAGTTGAGGACACCAAAAGGGGGGTTTTGTTACATTAAGAGACTTAGATCAGTGCTATTTAGAAAAAAAAGTTGAGTGCCAACTTGAGTACAATATTAAACACATGTAACTACCAGTTGTATTTCAAAAGGAATCTTGGATTTATTTTTGTTACCACACCAAAACTGCCAATTTATTTGCTAAACCTAAAGCAAATCCCAAATCACTCAAAAGTTATATTCTGTTGATGTGGTAAGATGATTATCGGTCACCTGAGATTACGATCTTATAAATGTCTAAAAGATTTTACCTCTGTTTAAGCCATAAATAAAAGCAAAATTATAAAAGGGTAAGATACTTGTGGGTTATTGGGTGCAATTTATTAAGTGAGGATCCACCCAATCAATACTTGATAGGAAAAAATCCCTTATTAATTCAGTTAAATGAGGAACTGGGAACAAGGAACTGCAGCCAAAGCTGAACATTTACCTGTTTTTCCTTCCCAAAATCTGTCACCAGTCCCTCCAACAGGGCACACATTTATCTAGTATTTCCAACTCCAGCTGAATTTTTCCTCTTACATTCTTTGCATAAACTCTGAGGGATTAAACAACGTCAGGAAAAACTAAAACTAGCCCTGGAATAACTTGCACAGCAACTTTTGGTTGGGTTTTTTTTTTCAACTGTCCAGCACAGCACTTGTTTTTCTCTCATGTGGTGGAGTCATAGCAAGGAAATCATGGCCAAAGGTCCTCTCCATTAAATCATTCAACCAGCAAAATCCCACAAAAATGCTGAAGGAATCTTACCGTTATAAAGAGACTATCAGTGTAGGGCTCTTCCATGGACAGAAAACGGATGAGATTAGTTTCATATTTGTGTTGGATGTGCCAGGGTTAACAGGGCTGGTTTTACCTTGCCAGGTGAAGTCCTAACAGAGTCAGATCTGAGCCAGAAGGTGGCAGAACTTCAGGCTGCACCTGCAGGATGGTGGCCGAAGGAAGCGAAGGACATTCCTGTGTTGAGTGTTATAATCTGATGACAGATCTTGGATTACAGTGACCACAGGAAGAATCTGGCAGCTGGATGCACTGTGTGGTGGGTGTTATACCTGCCCAAAACCTGCAGGATCTCACTCAATTCTCTCCTGCTGCTCTGTGAAAATTCTGACAGCCCAGCAGTGCTGAGGAAAATCACCAACTCCTTGTTTTCCTCAACGGTCTTGGCTGCTCTTTTTCACTTCCCATCGATCCTGGGATTCTGTGATTCACACCTCCCTGGCATTACCTTCAGTTTTGGGAGGGGTGGGGAGAGCCACTGCCTTCCGCCCCACCTCAAATGCACATCCTGAAGAGCTACAACGCTTTTGGCAGCTCCGGGCGAATACGCCCTGTGCTAAAATAGCTGCCTAGAGCAAAGAGATAACCTCCCTGTCACAAACACAAACTGTTTGGAGCAGTAACAGCAACTTGTCACTTCCCTGCTTCCCTCCTCACTCCACTGACACCCCTGGCCACCAGCAGAGGCCTCACACCCCCCCACTGCAGCTGAGAGAACAGCACTGTCCTGTATCGTGACTTCTCCCACAGACAGCAATTATTACAGCTCATCTTTAACAACCCAAGAACCACTCCCTAAAAAAAAAAAAAGTGAAATTGCCAAGGGTTGGCAGCGTTTGTGCAGAGTCCCATGTTGATTACACTGAACTAGAACATACAGATCCTGGTAGGAATCCTCCCAGGAAAGGCCTCCAGCCATGAGGGTTATCTTGTCCTTAAAAAGACACAACAGACTGACAGCCCTGGAGAAAAGTTCTAGTCCCACTAAAACCTTTTTTCACCGATCCTTGATGAAATTTCTGTGAAAAGGCATTAGACCACATCTTCCCCTCCCAGCTAATACTGAGCATACTCACAATGGCAACGTTTTGGAACCACTCCGGCAATTCTCTCTCCTGTGAGGGACAACACAAGTTGGTTTTGCCTCTCCAGATGTTCCACCTGAATGCCTGTTGTAGGGATCATACTCAATATCTACCTTGTGGAAGTGCTGTGTGGCACTTCAGAAAGCTGAGCACGTGGATAGTCCAATACCTGGACTTGTTAAAAAAAGCTGCAATTAGTCAATAATGGAAACTTTGAGCTGGAACCACAATATTTTTTTTCCCCTCACAGGAGCTACTAATTCTGCCTGTCAAAAAGAAATTACTCCAGCACTGCTGTCACATAATTATTGCCCAAGTCTTGGCAAGAACAGTGCCATGTAGACCTTGAGAGCGAAGGAGGCAGTTAAATTGTTTATTAATGACAACAGAAACAAAGTAAAACTGATAAAGCAAACAGATACTTCTTTAAATATAAAGTGTCTAATCATCTAGTGTTCTGTCAGGCTCCTCTCTTTTTTGTTTTTCTTTTTTTTTCTTTTTTATTTTTATTTTGTAGTTACAAAAATCCAGAGGATTTAGGGAAATATACTTAACATAAATTGGTCACCTATGACAACAGCAAACATCATATAAAGAAAAAAACCCTCAAAATATATTTACAAATCCATCCTTTGTAGTGATTGAGAAGTTTCTTGGTCAACAAGTGGCAGATTTATGCATGGACACTACATTCCCAGAGGCATTATCCAACCAGAGTCACTTAGCATAAAATTAAGCTGACAAACAGATTGTCTAAAAATAAGGCCAGTTTCACTCCTAATTTATGCATTTGATGACCAGAATTTTCTGCTATTCCTATGTTGATTAAAAAAAAAAATAGCATAAGAGCACCTAAACTCACCCAAATAGGATATACAGACCAAACTGCAAGTTTCATTCTTAGTTATTCAGAGCAGAAACTCATGAGCAAGAACAATAGAATACGCCTTTTTTGCCATCTTGTCTATTGCTGATTTTAAATGCTAATTTTAAATGCTTGTACAAAAACAAACCCCCCACACCCTATTTCCAGTATGATCATAAATAGGTAATAGTTTAAAAATGTAAGATATGATTACCTTGGACTATCAAGCTGTTTCACACTTCAGAAAAAAGTGGACAAAGCCCAAACACCTTTCTCTTCCTTTCCCTCCCTCTGTCCCCTCCCTCCACTCCCGTTTCCAAACCAGGAAAAAAAAAAGTTATACTCTAATGGATCTTGGAACTGGCACCAACATTCATGCTAGTTGCCCTGATGTGCAACAGAGAGTTCATTTACAATTGTCAGAAATATTCTTATGCACTAGCCCCAAAGAGTTCAGCTCCAGAAGCTTTCCGGAAACAGTTTGTTTGGGAGAAATCCCATCAGGTATGATGTGGGCAGTGCCCAGAGGGCTCAGGAATGTCCAACACCCTGGGTCGATCTTCAGTGTCACCAGTGGCTGTGGAATCTTCGTCTTCATCCACTGCAGGCTCATTAGGATTTGTTTCCTAATACAAAACACACCCATGGTTTAATTAAAATCTCCTCTTCCAGTTATAAGAAAGCACCAACAACTGCCAAGAAAAATCTGATCTGCATTATCACGTCGATGAACTGAAGCAAACATTGAGATCCATGTCCTAAAACCAGCTCCTTACAATTGCTAAGTTTAATTTGCAAAAGACATCATTTTACCAAGTTACTTGACCTTTAACTCAGTAAATCTCCATTAGGTTTCATCATTCCATATCTACCACTATGTAAGCCCCAATTCAGTATCTCAGCTCTATTCATTTTCTTGGTGGCTTAGGTTGTCTTTTATTTATTTTAAAAACAAAAGGATCATTGCTACCTTTAAAACAGAGGTAAAGCAACAGAGAAAAGCAAATTATTTTTACAGTCAGCTGAAGGGAAGGAGGTTTCAGCTCCCAAAACTGTAAGCAAGAGTTAAGAGATGTCACTTTCTGTTAGAAGCACGACATCTGCTGGCATCTCCTGTTAGAGCCACTGGGAATGTGTGTCTCAAATCCTGGGATAAACCTGAGAAAGTGCACAATGCCTACCCCTGAGGAAAGACTCAGTGCTTGCACAAAAACTAGGAATAAAATACATCAAGGATTCTTCTCTAAATGTGCCAAAGAAAAGGAAGAAATGATACAACTAACTTGCAATCTCCAAACTAAAATTACATTATAATTAACAGCAAGTGAATCATCTTGGTGATTTGCAAAGTCACTTTATGAAATGCACTTTCAGCAAGAACTAATGAACATCACACAGACTGTACAGCTTTTAAACTGCCATTAACTGGAACTTGTCTGAAAAAAGCAGACACGTTATTAAAGCTAAAACAGATGAGTGTGGTCATACAGACCACACTTCAAAGAGCCTTTCAAGAAAGAACCTCTTAAAGAACTCTGAAATCCAAACAGCTCCTGCAATATCATCTTTGTAG